GATTTAAATTGCAAATCACAGACTTCAAATGCTTTATGGCTATTTTAATTCGCAATTACTGCCTTTCGCATTAAACGGAAAATGGAGGGCAGAAGGTTGTGAAGTGTCTGTATGTTTCTCGTGTTCACAAATGAACCAACTTAAATAGATGACATGCCAATACTGTGCATTTTGTGTTTGCAAAAGTTGGGTTATTTGATGAATCTGCCTACGACCAAATCACCAGAAATGTGCCTCATCTTGTCAGGTCTCAGAAGCTGAGGAGGGTTGAGCCTGGATAGTACTTGCATGGGCAACCACCGCCGTGCATTTCACAGGTGCTATAGGATGCTACGGTGCTACATTGTCAGCAGCAGGCAGTGCAGCAAAATCCATTGTTGTACTGTAATTCGATGCTCTTGGTTCTTTCGGTAAAGTCATGTAGGTAAAGAAAATAATAAATACAAATAAAAATAAAAGATAAAAAATAAAAATAAATACATGCAAATCACGTGATTTAATTTTATTTATTTTATTTTTTATCTTTTATTTTTATTTGTATTTATTATTTTCTTTACCTACGTGACTTTACCGAAAGAACCAAGAGCATGGATCCTTGCAGTCACGAAAAGTTCAAATCTAGAACGTAATTCGATGCTTCCGCGCCTATGCTTCACACTCTCACCAACCCGCACTGACCAGCGTGGTGAAGCCTGGTCAATTAATGAATCACCACGACTCGCACAGCATTTGGTAGTCCCTCATCCAGCAGTGGCTTGACACAAGGGCTATGGATGCGCAATTTCGTGAATGGAATTCCATCTCAGTAAGTTGATAATTACAACAGCCTTTTATTTCATCCCTTGCTATACACCGTGTACTCTGCGTAACATATGGCAACATCATAGCAACTTGGTGTGAAAACGTGTTTCTGTATTAACATTTCTGTTTTCTATCATCCAAACGCAGATTGATTTCTTTATTTTCTTATCGTGAAGCCTTTCCGACTAAGGGCTTTTATTTAATAATTTGTGAACCTTGTGTGAATTGTCATAGTGGGTTATAATGTCAATACATCTGCTATTCCCAAAAACAAACAAATGCAGTGCATTAACTAAGATGTCCATTAGTAACTAATTGATACAATGGCTTTGCTGTTAAGAAAATCATCTGCAAGATTAAATTCAATTGTCTGCATAATTTGGGAATCAAGCAGTGGATAGATCATGGATGATGATTAGAATCTCTTAGATTATTCAAAATGCAGATTAGCACCTGTAATATGAGTAAGAACTGACGTTAGATTAAAAGCATTTGAGAACAAGATACAGTAAAACCTTGGATTGCGAGCATAATTCGTTCCGGAAACGTGTTTGTAATCCAAAGCACTCGTATATCAGTTGTGATCACGTGACGCTCGGCAGACAAAGCGTATACACGTACTACTCGTGTTGCAAGACCTCGCTCGTTTATCAAATTAATATTTATTTTAAAAAATTTGCTCGTCTTGCAAAACACTCGCAGACCAAGTTACTCGCAATCCAAGGTTTTACTGATCTTGGGGTATCACCTCTACCTTGACAAACATGAATTGTGAATAGGTAAATGAAACCCATGATGTCTGCGCAAGATCCCAGTGAACAAAGAACGTTGGGCCAACGTTGATGCAACAGTTCCAACCAACGTTGGACCCATTGCATACTTACCTGGGATCATTCTTCAGCTTCGTCATGAGCCATGAATGCCTCAACCAGCCATTGACATCTCTCACATTCTCACGATGCACCAGTCCATGTAGCTTCTGCTACATGAACCGATCCCATCGGTCTCTCTCTACAATGTACGTACTCATCTTCTTGGTTCTTTCGGTAAAGTCACGTAGAAGGAAAATAATAAAATAACAAAAATAAAACATAATAAAATAATTCTCACGACGTTTCGGCCACAACGCAAGCAGCCGTTTTCAGGTGGAGAACAGGTCTGTCGAGAAGGCAGACTCTGCCATCTCACGACGTTTCAGCCACAACGCAAGCAGCCGTCTTCAGGTGGAGAACAGGTGGAGAACAGGTCTATCGAGAAGGCAGAGTCTGCCTTCTCGACAGACCTGTTCTCCACCTGAAGACGGCTGCATGCGTTGTGGCCGAAACGTCGTGATCATTATTTTATTATGTTTTATTTTTGTTATTTTATTATTTCCCTTCTACGTGACTTTACCGAAAGAACCAAGAAGATGAATCCCTGTAGTCACGAAAGCTTTAAATCGAAATGTACGTACTCTGAGCACGTTCCCCCGCCCTTGGCTAATACATTACTCGATTTATTACAGGAACCTCTAACATCAATGTATGTATTCTATGTATCGTATCATCGTCAAATAAGGATGCTACACTAAATCGGTACACCTGTTTTTAGTATATTTCTCGAAAATCTCTGTGATCACCATCGTACTTGGTTACATAGATCGTTACATTATATAAATGTGGTGTATTGTTTGTGTGTATACATAACGAATATTTGGTATTTCTTCTATTACGTATTCACAGAGAGCGGTGTCGCATCACTTTTAAATGTTTTACATGCTCGTCACTGATTCATCAATTTCATCAATTCATATGCCCAGGATCCAGGCGTCAATCGCGCATTGAAGAATGTGCTGCCTCGCATTTATGCGAACGTAATGAAAATGATATGCTCATGAGAATTAAAGCTCCTAACATGGGCAAGGACAGAGCACAGAAGATTAACAACGCATGTAATGAAGTGCAAACAAATAAAGCAATGTTTTTGATTAACTTTCTTACAATACAAAATTTGACACATGTCAACGAATCTGCTAAACCATTACATGCCTATTCAATACCGCGCAAAGGAACTGCTACAGACGGTATGAGTTGTGTTTTTGAAAGCATATCATATTTACGCGCGGTGTGGCGGTGATGGAGTCAGGCTGTTTGCCTAAGGGGCCGTCCATAAATGACGTCACACACTTAAGGGAGGGGGGGGGGGTCAGACATTTGTGACAATGTGTGACGAGGGGGGAGGGGCGTTTGAGAAATGTGACGTCACATCAAAATGCGAAACTTTAAATAAACATAGACAACACGTTCTACTTAATTAAATTGACTTTTTAATACATGTTTCCTCCTACAACATCAGAGTGCAGCGCCACATTAAATACGCACTACAATGACAATAGTTTCAAGCGATTTGAAGCATATTTTATATTTTTGCGGGGGGGTGGCAGAGCTTTGTGACGTAATATTTGAGAGGGGGGGGGGGTCTGACTTTTTGTGACGCCGTGTGACGATGGGGGGGGGGTGGGGGTCAAAAATCGTCCAAAATCGCGTGACCTCATTTATGGACGGCCCTTAACCGCTGCAAAACTCGACCAGCTGCCCGTAACCGCCGATTGGCCGTGTGGGTGGTGGTGGTGGTGGTCCGAACGGAGCGGCGCGTGTCCCCGCGTGCGCTGACCAGAAGCACGCACGCGCTGTAACTACCACAGGGGGGGGGGGGGGGTGATGTAGTGAGAGTCTCCAGCCCCTCTACGCCTTAACCGCACCGCGGCTGCCTGCGCAACATTCGCGCCGTGTCGCTCTCGGACCTGCTTTCGGGTTCTGCCGCTGGTCGTTTCGGCGTGATGGCCGATGTTTTGCTCCGAGTTCTGGGCGGGCGGGGGGAGGCTTTTTCAGGAATTTTGTTTCCGAAGAAGGGGATGGAACGTATGAGCGAGCCGGGCAGCATGGCCGTAGAAACCTTTGCAATAGAGCTTAGATAAAAACTTCATTCCTCGTGCTTTTGACTGGTTGCCAATTCCTCTCCTTTCAAAAATATCAATGAAGTCCACTGCACTTTTACAGTATATGGTGATTGACGAAACATAAAGCGAGACTCTGTGAAGAGTGTTCTTTGTGAAGCAGTTTATTGAAAGCCGGGGTATAAAATCCCCCCCCCCACCCCCACACAAAAAAAAACCACAAGGTCAGTGAGAACATGCCACAACTCTGTGTCATAACGAGCATCGCCACGTGACCATGTCAGCAGCCGCGTCAGGTCAGCTTTGATTGTAGGAATGGTGGCTATGAGCTTGATGGGCCACATAAAGTCAGGACATTGCTTCTCTTTCATCAGGCGCGACCTCTGGTGACCATAGATCACCATCGTGAATGACGACATGGGGTGATCAGGGTCGGATACCACGTGATTCGGTGATCGGCCTGTCGCAGCACTGGCAATCGCATTGTTCAGCTCTGTATAAAGCACGTGGCAACTGCGTCGTGTTTGAAATGCACGGGGAATTAATGCTGCGGCGTTACTTCAAAGCTTCGAGGTCATTTAGAACTTGCGAGGGTCTGCAAATTGAGACCCAATGGTGCGTGGATAGTAGTGCTATTTATATGATAAGCTTTGATTCAAATTTGCATAGAAGAGCCATTTTGTAAAGTGAACACAGCTTCGTCGTGGATAACCGATTGCGATTAAGTGAGACGCCGTAAGACACGATGCTTCTAGTGCACAAGACCCTCTGTGATGGGTGACACACCATCACAGAGGCAACATGTAGACTGGTAAGCCCATGAGCCATTACGTTCAAGTTCAAGTTAATTTATTAGGTATAGCCCTGTGAGCCATTCGGCTCTTGAATCGGGTGCAATCGCAACAAACAAAAAACAAAAACAGGAACAAAAAACATCTTAAAGTGAATATGTGACTAAGCGCAAACAGAAAATCCAAGAAAAGACAGCAAAATATTGCAGAAAAAAAAATCACCGTACACCAACGCTGTGTGCAAGCGTCAGAGTAGAAACAATTGCCGACGACTCGCACACCAGAAAAATCATCCTGTGTGAGCCCGTAAGTCGTTCCTTCGCACGACCCCCTTGTTGGAACCATGACACACACACACAAAAAGCGAAGCAGCAAACAAGTGGGAAGACGATAATTTAAAATTTTCTCCTGAAACGTTTCGGACGACAAAGTGGCTGACGGTGGTCTATTTGTGCCTTTGCGCGCGCGTTTAGTAAACAGCTGAGCGTGCCGGTCAGAATCATGCCAAAGCACATCCAGGCAGACAGGTATACGTGTGTGCCGCGTGGCCTAACGGTGTGACGTGGTCACCGATGAAATCCCCCCCCCCCACCCCCGAGGCTGCTCCTAACCCCCCCCTCCCGACCCCCCACCGGCTATTATCCTTGAACCCACACAAACGATTGTCCCGTTCCGCGATCCCAGTGTTGCTGCCCTCTGGAGTTCAGAATCCCCATGTCCCCTTCCCCAGTGTCGTCCCGAATCGCCAGGGCGAGGTGACAATGTTATCCGCAATGTCCGTAGACAGTCAAACGAACCGTCAACGTTTCCCTTGAAATGTACTTTCATTTTGGGGTATTTTTTCGTTTGTTGTTTTACGAAATCGTACGAAGCGGCAGTGTTGCATTAAAAGCATTGTGGGGAGTTTTGCCGCCTTCAAATTGTAAACTCAAGTTGTTGGATAACAGCTGCGGTTAAAATTGTGTAACCTCACCTGGTCATGTCACGTGGTTATTGAGGAGTGCATTAAAATGTTGTCTTGTTACATTCGACACTTAAGTAAAATATCTAAACACAACGTGTACACACCGTGTACAGATTCAGCCGCTCACTTTGCTGCATTATTGCAAAACACAAATTACACAGCAGACTCGCACCAATGGTAACAAATCAATTGAGGACGATGCACCATTTATTTTGTTGCATCGATCGTTAATTCTTTTATGCATGGCAGCATTCACAACTGGACAATGATGAGCAGCATTTGATCTATGCATATCCTGTATCTATATTCGCAGAGGTGCTGCCATGGTCGAATGGTGAATCACAGTGCACCTGCAATCCAGAGGTCATCAGTTCAGTTTAAACAAATGGGCACTTGTACCACCCACCTACCCACCCACCGCCTCTGTCGACGCAGCGGTATAAATGGGTGCACCACAGTCACGTGTGGCAGGGTAAAGTGTGGGTACTGCCTCCCCCCCCACCCCACCCTCTTGCAAGACATCTGGCCAGTGTGTAAAAAAAGTAGGCCAAATACCCTCTAGAGGGGCTCTTTAAGAGCGCTCTCTCTTGTAGAGGAGGCTCTGCAAGTGAGCAGTAGCACGAGCTAGCAATTGCAGGGCTGCACTTGAATTTTTGTTGTTAAACATACGTATAAATACAGTGTCTTTAAGTGCCCTTGGGGATATGCTTGTGTGCTGTTAACAGGTCCCGGTCAGTAAGCGGTGCATCGACAGGATTAGTCACGAGTCCTCTCAGCAGTCCAAAGGTGAGTCTTCCTGAGTGTGTGTGTGTGCATTCGCTTGTTCCATGTTGTGTTCACATCACCCACTCCATCCATAAATATCAAGTGAATATTCAGCAATTGCCCAGTGTATCGTGCTGTCACAGCACGCTTGACTTTTCTTTTTTGCTTTCTGATGATAAGTGACAATGTATGGCATCCCAAGCGAGCATGCCAGTTGTGTTTTGATTGTCATCTCATTGCTAACCACATTCTCCTCTTTCTTGTCCTCTTTCTCGCACATCATGACCCTTGCGTGCTTATCCTATTTTGATCACCGCTTGACAATCTCATTTTCTCTTCTAACACCATGGCATTCCTTTGATGATCCTGGTTGGAATTTTACCTCTGAGAATCCTATTTGAAAAATTTCTCTCCTGTTTGAATTTTTTCCCCTGCTTCATCTTGACGATGTCTTTTCCTGGTTGATTTCCCCCCACAAATTCCCTTTATTGCCTGAAGTTTGATTTTTTTTTTGTTTCCTACTTAATTAATCCTGAACAAATTTGACATTTTCACCTAAATTGCCTATGACCCTAATTTTTCCCTCTCAAAATTTACCTTCCGACTAATCCCCTGCACACGTATATCGCTCCTCTTGGAGCCTTCTCCTCTGGACTGCCCCTCGCTTATTATTACCCATTATTATTATTACTCCCTCCCCTTGCGCATGACCTGCCACCACACCGCCACCGTAGCCGGGATGGCGGTCTCCCCACCTGTTCCCCGATGCCAACTCCAGATCCCAGAGCACGTCCGACGCGGACGACGGCGGAGACGTTTCCCTCTCCAGGAGGGTCTCGCTCTCCGACCCCAAAACGCAGACCCTCCCGAGCAAAGCGCGCAAGGCGGAGCGCCCCGTGCACATGGTTCTCTCGAACCCTCTGCCCGCGGGCAACCCTGCCGCCGTGGCCGACGACGACGCCGGCCGTAGCCCGTCGCGCCGCGCCCCCCCTCCTCTGCCCCCGCCGCCGGCGAACCCCCGCCTCACTAACCCCCGGTCTATCCCCGTCATACAGGTGACACCCCACCCTTCCCCTCGAGGCAGCCCCCTCCCCACCCCAAAGGGCACGCCCCACCACACCCCCAGGGACAGCCCGGCCGGCACGCCGAGCCCCACGCCGCCGTCGAGCCCCAGTGTGGGCGGCGCCCCGTGGCGCGCGCGCCTCCACTCCTTCAAGCACACCTTCCTCGGCTCGCCCAGGTTCCACCGCAGGAAGCTGCAAGGTGCTGCACTCCGGCTGCTGCTGCTGCTGTTGTTCCCCTGCCGTGAATGCCGCCACCTGTGCGCCTGCACGTGCACGTGTGTGTGTGTGCGTGCGTGTAGCGGCGGTGTAGTGGTTAGCGCGCGGCGGTGTAGTGGTTAATGCGCTGCGCTACGAAAAAAAACGACCCGATGTTCGATTCCCGCTCACGGCCAACGCCAAGTGACGATTATCTGAACCGGTCCTGGGCCTCCTCTCCTAGGTCGACTCGGCCTCGAATGAGTACCTGGTGCGGTGTGTAGACATCGCCACTGGGGAGACAAAGGCGGTCGGGCGTGGTGCTGGCCACCCACCCCCTCGTGTACCATTCTGGCCTTAATAGGTGCTCGCTAACAGCACTTGTCCCTACAGTCTGTTAAGGCTATACGGGGGATCTTTGTTTTTGTTTCGGGCAACGAGCACCAATCGCAGATAGCGCGCGCTGTGCTTTGAACTTCGCTCGCGCACGTGCACGTGGGACCCGGTATTCCGGTGCGAAAATAACTTGAGATGCGTTTTGGCGAAAGTGGGCTCACATTACAGGCGTGTATTGGTGCATTGATGAATCGATGATTGTTGGTTATTGTGCTCACGATGTGTGCATCAAATTTGCGTGCGTGCGATTGTGTTGTTACTCGTGGTGGTGTGCAATTTCCATGTGATGGTGGAGTGGCCAGAGTGCTGTGCTTTGAACCTGACCACACCTGAGTGTGATTCTTGGCCACAAATAATACCGGTGTGGAGTGGTTTCTGCACCTTCAGCAACCCATGTACCCGGTGTGGTGAAGTATGGTCAAATAATCTCCATGATATACATGGTATATGGAGAGACCTTCATCCAGCAGCGGATTTCCTTGGGCCTTTGCATTATTAGATATTACATATGTATATCATTTACTGCCCCGCGCCTCCGCTTAGCACAGTTTGCTACGTATGGTGCAAAATAAGTTCAACATCTATTCATTACGTTTCAACCAATGGGGTGAACAAAACTGAACAAATGGCAACTGAAACTAAAACGACAAACAATACAAACTTTTTTAGTGGAAGTTCTGCGGGGGAGTGAGTCGGTGCGCATGCCTATTATGTAACGAAAGGGCGCCCACTGGAACACAGATAGACAGGTCCCCTTTGCAGAATGACCTGCGTGACTGTCCGGAACTGTTCTCTCACTCTTTAGTTGTAAGTTCCAACGGCAGAAAATTGGCCCCTGTTTCGCATTGACTTTTGATGATGCTCTGGTGAAAAAAAAATATGAAATAGCGTTTACTGCCAGTGGGAATCTTTTTTTTTTAAAGGTATACCTTTTTTTCTGCTGCAAGTTTGGACTGCTGTGAAAAGCGGACGGTCCGCTTGAAAATGGGTTGTGAAGTAATACTAGGGCTGCCAGATTGTTTTGGGGGTGGCCAAACATTTGTAAAAATGAACTGCAAAAGTGCCCTACTTGCCATACGGGAGCCCACAAAAGCGGAGACGTTTTTTTTTTGTCAAGTTGTTTTTCTGATTCGCATTGCAACATCGGCTTTTTGAGTAACGCCCAGTCACGGACAAAATTGCCCAATCTTCCATCCCTAAATAACACCTGCGACACACGGAGATCAGCAATGCTTCCTCTTTCTTTTTCAGTTCCCACTCCCGAAGAGATGTCAAGTCTGACCCCCGAGTCATCCCCAGAGTTAGTAACTTTTAAAGCACTTACCTACGTGCCTCTTCACGCGTTTGTATTACTATTTTATCTGTTATTTACAAGTGTAATGGCCATGGTGCAAAATTGCGCACGGTTGTTGGTTCATTATTTTGCACAAATCGACATATTTTTCGTGAGATTCTCCCCCACCCCGCCCCGACTATTTTTTCAAGTTCCCCATCTTCTCTGCAGGCTCGCGAAAAAGTCATGGTTTGGGAACTTCATTAATGCGGAGAAGGAGGAGCAGATATTTGTCGTGATCAAGGACAAGCCCATCAGCTCCATCAAGGCCGACATCGTGCATGCCTTCCTCTCGGTCAGTCCGCCAGGTGGAACTGTGTGCGCCGTGGAACAGTCACGTCTCCTCGGCTTTCCGTGATCGGTCTTCATGCCTCTTAACCCTTTCCCGTTCTGATGACGTACGTTCTGATGACGTACGTCATCAATTTAATTCCGATGATGTATGCGCATGAAGTGTCTGGAGATGTGGCTGCATATATACTCTGTAGATAAGGAAATAGTACTGCATTGTAAAAAAATTATCATGAAGGGGGACGAATGCATTGCGTTCTTGTTAATTGTGCTTTTGCTAAACAGGATCATCCGTGCGTTTACAATTGAGACCTAGACAAACATCGGTGCATGGGCTCGGGATGGAGGCCCCTGTTCCATGCGTTTCAACTTGTGCCGCAAAAGCACCACAGTAACATCCAAGTTTACACGCAGACGTTTGATAAATAATGAAACAAAAACTAATAAGAAGCATCTGCCAGATTTTCGGTCGGGTCCGATAACATTTTTTTGTTCGTAAAAATTATTCACCGTTTGTGTGTGACTCACGTATTACCTCATTGAAAGCCTTTAATAGTCGTAAATCAGCCTATTCCAATATCAGCCTGGTTCAGAAGCAGGGGAGGAGAGGGTTAAAACAAGATCTGTAGCAATTAGGGTGCAAGTCAATCACATTGACTTTCATTTTACTTCCCAGCGTGAATGAAATATGCTTGCTTGGTGCGTACGCACGCACTGTGTCCGTCCACCCCCCCCCCCATCCCCAATTTTAGATTCCGAGCCTGAGTCACAGCGTGCTGTCGCAAACGAGTTTCCGGGCGGAATATAAGTCCGCTGGGAGCCCCGTGGTTTTCCAGAAGCCCGTCAAGTTCCAGGTGGACATCACCTACTCGGAGGGCAACCCTGGCCTAAAGGAGACGGGGATTTACTCCGTCACCTTCACCCTCATGTCAGGTATCTGAGCAGCACAGCCATGCACACCCTCATCCCAGCCAATTTCACCGCTACAATTCTTTTCATCCGACTGCGGTTCTGCCCGGGTTGTGGGCTGTGTGCTTGGGCGCATTCTTCTCTCAAGCTTTTGCCCTGCACTGCTCACTGGGGGCATCTTTCAGGAGTTCACGGCTTCCTTCAGTTCACAGCTCCTTCGGGAATTCGCAACTACTGAAGATGTAGTGCAGAGCACAACCCAAAAAACAACGCTTGCATTTCAAGCGTCTGCAAAAAAAAAACTACATGTTAAAGTACAATTATTTTGACTTGAGATTAAAATTACATTATGTTTGTGGTTATTATTTAATAAGAAGAATTTCATTTTATATTGCCTCATTCATGAAATTGTATCCCATAACGCTGCACATCAATTGGCCAGTCCCTTACACAGATAATACAAAATCAAAAACCCCACACTACTTGGCAAATCAAAACCTGAAAGATGAATACGTACATAACGAGAGAAGAAAACATGCACATAACAGGAAAATTATAATCACACCGAAAATAAATTCAAAGAACGCGGCATAATTATTCAGTGCACTTGTAAAAGTATCACCGCCTTATTTATGATGGAATTGTAAATTATGTCATTGTACTGTTGTGGAGTGTTATAAATAATATAATACATGGTCCAGGAGCTTGTTATATCGGTTAAAACACAAATGGTAAATATGTATTCTGTATTAATGTTTTTATATGTTCGCTGCAACTATATGATCATAATATTTAATTTCATAAAATGTTTTTGCCATAACGGATGTAAACATTTAGTAGACTCTCAACGTAAGCCAATTAGCTCATTTAACCAGCCTCACTCTGCTCACGAAATCCAAAAGGTCATAATTGGTTCAGAGTTTGCTTGTTTAAATAAACACTTCCAGTTAATATTTATCTGGAAAGCGTATAGACTGACTATAAAATAAGATATCTTACGTGGATAGACAACAGAAGTCTATTTATTTACCGTTTTATTCGTGTTAGTTGTCATGGAACTATTGTTGTGAATTATTAATCATATGCAGCTGGCCAAGGTTCGTTTTTTTATGGAAACGTCCATATGGTTGAGGGTAAGTCACTACACGAGTGTCAAAATGATGTCACATTGGTGTTCAACATTAATGCCGGTGTCACGTCTGCATTTGCTCAGGTCCCAGCAGGAGGTTCAAGAAGGTTGTGGAGATCATCCAGGCACAGCTGGTGAACTCGCACGATCAACCGCTGGTCCAGCAGCTTTCAGGTAGTCACCTGCCCTCTGGCTGAATCTGGGGCCCATAACGGTGGGGTGTGGGGCAGCCTCAGTCGTGCTTAGTGTGGCTGTGGCTGGCGGTCTGTTGATTGGGGACCCGGTTAAAAAGTTCACGAATCCCACTCTGCTCGCCAATAACCACCACCCGCACATCCACACTCCCGATTTCAGTTGTTGAATTCCTTAACATTGAAAGTCTAGAGACAAATCTGACTGTGGTTCACGGTAAAAGATAATTTATTTCAGGGAACACCTTAAATGTAAATGAAAAAAAACACCATGTGGTCTTGTGTAATGCGTGCAGTTATTTAGAAAAAGCATTGCTACAATGTTAGCTTCGTGTTGCTGAATGTATTTGCAGAATACAGAAGACACTGTGCGGTGTGATACAGACTTGATCAAATATTAGAAGTATTTATTGAGTTCGTTTTCAGATAATTTCTCCACCTGAATTGGTCATGTCATTCGGGTACCTCATTTACACTTGGGAGGTGTGATGTTTAAACGGAGGGGCTCGCTCACCCTCTAGTGGCAATGTTAGGTAGCACGCATACAAAGCATGTCGAATGATTGAATGGCCACATACGAGGAGCGTCCTGGAAAAAAAACACTTGATAACCCTCATACATATGTTTAGATAGCCAATGCTGGCTTCATAAGATAATCCGCTTTTACAAAATATATATTTTTGTACTATCTTTCTACAGAGGGCCGCACATTGAACTTCATAATAGAATCCAACCTACTGTCGACAAAAACCCTCCTTTCTGGATGATAAACATTTGTTGCCTATCATTTTGTTTTCAAATCCAGAATGCCCATCAATTGCTGTGGGGGATATGTTTTAATCGTGAAATCAAATAGTTAAATCTTGATTTGAAGCTTTTGTGACTGCAGGAATCCATACTCGTTGGTTTTTTCGGTAAAGTCACGAAAGCGTCCATCATCATCATCATCAGATGGACGCTTGTGTTGCGCCCGAAACGTCGTGATTCATTTTATTTTATACCTACGTGACTTTACCGAAAAAACCAAAGAGCATAAATCAAATAGTAGTTTCGTTATGGTCACCGGGTCCCGTGTAAAGCATTGGTGATGTTGAGGCGTTGTGTTTGCTCTCGGCTTATGAGGAGCAGTGCGTATTTCAGACGAGAAGAACGCCAAGGGTCCACAGACGCCCGGCACCCCGTCGCGGAACAAGCGCAACGAGATCGAATCGAGTCCCAAGATCGACGTGAAACCGCCAGCTGCGAAAGAGAAAGTCTAGTTGTGCACGGAGGGGGTGGATTGGGGAAAAACACAAAAAAATCGAGGCGTGCTCACAGCACACGAGCGACGGCTGTAAATAAGGTGCTCTGTCGAACCACCACCGTCTTTCTACCTGCAGGTGTAGATATGCAACCCCCGTCCTGTACCTAAAGGCATACAAATGTATCACGAGCGAGAACAGTATAAAGGCGTTCTTTTTCCCGATGCATTGAATTCAATGCCTGCCAAGAAAAATGCGTGGAAGCTTTGTGTCAACTTCAATCGTATGCACAGTTTTTACAGTAATTTCCCGACTCCTTTTTGCTGTATTTACATGAAGTAGGATGTAGCGTTTTGTTGTTGTTGTTGTTTTTTGTTTACTTAATTTATTCGAAGTCGGTTTGTTTATGCGAAGCCAAGTGAACGTAGCATACAGCTGCACAGTGTCTGTGCATACACAGAGGTGTTCACCACTACCCATGATCCTTTGCGTTGTCGTTTATTTATTTGTACGTGATTCTGAGTTACTCACCCACGTGAAAAAAAATTTGGTCTTTGTAGGGTCATATATTTTGGCCATGGTAGGAAAAAAAGAGAAGTCAATTTTTTTAAACAAAATCAGTTTAATGGGTACACAAATACTCGCACTCTCTTCAAAATGTGTGTAAATTGCCTTAGAGTGTGCAACACAAAAATGGGTATTTTTTTTTCTTTTTTCAAAGTGTGGCTTTTAAGAGGGCGAGTAAGATAATGATGGCCATTTTACCCTAAATCGAAGCTTTAGTTGCTGACAAAAAAATAAAACATAGACAAAAAAAATGACAAAACGTATATATGTATACACAAAAGAAAAAAAAAACTAGATTAATGTTTTTGCTGCAGGGCAAACTCGAAGTATGCAAAAGTCTATTGTAAAAAGAACCAACTAGTTTGTATATCATCCCATTCCACTGCTGGCTTAATTGTACGGTCATATTTGCTCTTTTTTGTTGGACTTAGTTGCACTTTATTAAGATCTTTGATGTGACAGAAGTTAAAGACTGCCCCCCCCCTGCCCCCCCTCGTTTTCCCCCCTCCCCTACCGCCCCTCCCCTCACTGTAAGTTTTTATTTTATTTATGATAAATTCAGTGTGTGCAAGTAATATATTAATGTGGTGTATTGTGAAGTCTTGTAGATATTTTTCCACCAAAACGATTTAATTTATTGGGAAGGGAAAGGGTACAGTATATCAATGCAGTGTTACCGGTAGAATTTTACTGCTTTATTTTTACAGTTTTGCTTTTTATCTCTCTCCTTACATTTGCCTTCCAAATTTGGTCCGTGTATTACCATTTATCGTGCTACTGTGAAACTGCTTAAATATTTCTTCCATAATTTATTTCAATTGTTTTACGCGTTTATACCTTCAAAATTAAAACAATATACTGTTTGTATATTAACTAGGTGATGAATCTTGCCGACATCCACGTTAATTATGCATGCTCCCTAGAACATTTTTGTTGCATGATGTCAGTGTTACTTACTCGCCTATATGTGAATGTCAATTTCTGCTGTTACTCTCCTCTCTCTCTCTCTCTTGCGGGTCTCCTTCCTGAACTTTACTATCACTGACCAAACTCTCCCCTGCTTCCAATCAAACCTGACTCCTGGCTTTCCTGTATCACTGCTGCAGCTCCCCCTGTCTCCCTCCTTGCCCCGGGTTTCTCCGCTCCCTTCCCCCCCCCCCCCCCCTGTCGTCCTTTGGCCTATTGGAGAGTTTAGCATTTAGACCTTTTTCTATTACACCTGAGCACCGCGGTAGAAATCTGGGGCCGCTTTTATTCCCGCAGGAGGCACTGTTGCACCGGGATTGCAGGAACCCTTCCCGGGCAGGGAATGAATCTCAAGCACAACCTTTTGCAGAAGTGGCTGATTTTGACGTTTTTTTGTTGTTGTTGTTGAATCTGTAAGGGTTTCTGCACTCCTCACCGTTTGACCATCGTTTTACGAGGATGCGCAGCACTCGCTTGGAACGGCGGCCGCTTAACAAACAAAAAAAGGGAGACTCCGCTGCAGCTGAATGCTTCAAGTTAAAAACAAAGTTTTCTGAACCTAATTTGCCGGAAAACTACTTTTGGCAATCGCGGCCCAACGGGCGTTTTTTCCTCGAACATCGTGCCATTTGTGGCCACTTTGCCCTCTATGTACAGTGATTTTGTCTATTTATTAGTTTATTTATTAGCATATTTAATTTCAACCAATCGGCAGAATCGGTATCCGTTAAGAGGCACTGCAACGGAAATGACTGCTACAAGTATCCCACTTATATATAACCACTGGACTCGTGAATGCAGTGTTGACAATTTGAGCAGAAATCATTGGTCCGGTATCTCCTATGGGAAGTGGCCCAGAAAAGCAATACTTTTGCAATATGGTGTACCCCCATCATCTGAAGTCTGTTGGCTAGAGCAGTCTTACCTTGGCAAGTATGTTGTATGAGATTAATAAAATGTCTTCTTGGTTAAAAAAAAAACATCAATTGTGGTCTATTCTTTACTAATATATTATTTTGCATTTTACGTATTCCATTCTATAGACGCAAGGACATACACGATTCAAGGTAAGGTACATTGTGGAAGTAGTATGAGAAATTGAATTAGTAAATGTAACATGTATTTATTTGCATGCCAGATGGGCTGAGAGTCTAAAAATATATTTCTTATTCTATCAGCACGTCAAAGAAATCGTTGGAAGTTTATTTGCTTACAGAAACGGGGCAGTGTGATTTGAAGAGCAGTTTTGAGATTATCGCTGACATTGCAAGGAATCAGTTTGCTCTCAATTGCACATTTCATACAAATCAATCGCTGCTACTCCAAAATACTCCCTCTTCATCAAGTAGCTCAACAAACATGAAATTAGAAAATAAAACCTTACCCGGACCAAAAAAAAACCAGGAACGTTTTACAATGAGCTTAGAAATATTTCATTGTGTATGCCTGCTGACTCGGTACGAAGTCTTATACTTGTAGGAACCTCCTGGTTACACCAGCCCACGGGATTATTGTGTCCGTCCGTCTATCGTGCATCCAAAAATGGGAGGGGTGGAGAGGGGAGGGTGGGGAGGGGCTGGGTGGGGAGGGTGGGGCTGGGTGGGTAGGGGAGGGGCTGGTCACCCCTTGGTGCCCTTATAAAACTCAACGTGTAACCTACTCACGCCGGCTTGTGCCCGCCCTCACAGTCGGGCAGATTTGCGGAATACACCACGCCGCCGTTGACCCTGGCCATTGACCGAGCAACCTAACGTTCCTACCAGCTCCCTCCACAGGGAATGTGTTTTGTCCCCTGCTGTGTTTTTAAAGGTTCCACGATTCGTATTTGCATCACTGAGAGAGAGAAAAGGCGCGGGCAGAAAATAGGCGTGACTCCTTCGATACCGTTGTGGTGTCTCGTATCCATTGTATCCGTATGTGTACAGGGTCGTGGTTCAGATGTCTTGTGACCCCCCCCCCCCCCCAATTCATTGACCCCCTAACATAAAAACAATCCTTTTGAATGCTCATTTCTGTTTCAAATAAAACTTTACAAAAATATTAAGGAGCCGTCCATAAATGACGTCACGCACCAGGGGGGGGGGGGGGGGGTGGGGCAGACATTTGTGACGATGTGTGACGAGGGGGGGTGGGATTTGAGAAATGTGACGTCACATCAAAATGCGCAACTTTAAATATATATAAACAACACGTTCTACTTAATTAAATAGACTTTTAAATACATGTTTTCTCCTACAACATCAGAGTGCAGCGGCACATTAAATACGCACTACAATGACAATAGTTTAAAGCGATTATAAGCATGTTTTATTTTGGGGAGGAGAGGGCAGAGCTTTGTGACGTCATATTTGAGGGGGGGTCTGACTTTTTGTGACGCCGTGTGACGAGGAGGGCGGGGAGTCAAAAATCGTCCAAAATCGCGTGACGTCATTTATGGACGGCCCCATAGTACGCCTGAACATTGCGGGGCTGTTTCATTCAAGGGACGTGCCTTTGACACGAGTCATGTAAACCACGTGCAGTGCAACGCTTCAGTCAATCCACTGCTGGATGAGGGGGGCCATCCTCCCCCCCCCACACCATGCCAGGCAATGTGGATGATTTGACAATGCCACGTGCAGCAACGGGGGGAGCGGTGGCACAGCGGTTCGCGCACTTGCAAGCGCGTTCGCCGATTGTTGCAAGAAGTTTCACGGTTCGAATCAATGCCCGACCCCCACAATTAATGCTGCAGTGTCGCAGTGACGACGTTATCAGCTCAGAGGGGGTGGCGGCAATCGCCTCTCGCACGGTCACACCTCGGCTATTACAGGGTGTTTAAAAAAGTTGGACCCGAATTGAAATCGCTATATTTCTGCAACCACGAACCGCCCATGAATGAAACTCTTACCACTTGAAAGGGAGGGGCATAGAGTTTCAAGTGATTACCGTGAGATGCCTCTCCCAGCGCACAAACAGCCCCTAGCCTCAGTCATTCGCAAGACGGTGACCCCGCAACGCACACGGGGCGTTTTGCGTTCTGCAGCTCAGCAAGACTGAATCCGTAATTGCGGTGCAGCATGCGTTTCAACGGCGTTTTGGCATTGATCCGCCATGAGTTGACGTTGTCTCCCCGACAGACCTGGTCTTCACCTGAGGACGGCTGATTGCGTTGTGGCCGAAACGTCGTGAGAATTATTTTATTATGTTTGATTTTTATTATTTTATTATTTCCCTTCTACGTGACTTTACCGAAAGAAGCAAGAAGATGAATCCCTGCAGTCACGAAAGCTTTAAATCGAAACTAATCATCTTCTTGGTTCTTTCGGTAAAGTCACGTAGAAGGCAAATAATACAATAATAATAATAAAACGTCATCTTTTTTATTTTATTATTTCCCTTCTACGTGACTTTACCGAAAGAACCAAGAAGATGAATCCTTGCAGTCACGAAAGCTTTAAATCGACATTTAACCATCACACCATCGTTCCGCTCGCGGTGTGGAACGTTGAACGCTGTAGGGGGCGCTCCCTATTCGCAAAATGCAGTCACGACAGCGTCGCAGTTGAACCTCTTTTTTAAATCCCACTTCCCGTGATCCAATCGAGCTGACATTTTGCACACAGACTCGTTGTGCGTGACAATGCATTTTCGTAAAAAAAAAATTCCAAAATTTTACACTGTTAAGGGAATTTTTTTAAAATATTTAATTACCAATTGTTTAATGGTGCCAGACAATCATCTGACCCATAGGTGGCAGCCATCTCAAGCCAGAGGACGAGAGGCCTCGAGCCGCCCCGATGCCACGCATATAAAGGATTTATAGTGAAAAACTTTGTTTTTACGGGTTAATTTTTTGCCATATAATTTGACGCGCATTTAATGCAATAAATATCGCAGAAGCGGGAGTTCTTTGTCCAACGGTATTTTTATTTCAAGTTGCTGTCATTCAAAGCACAGTACGGTCCGTTCCCTTCATTTATAAATACTTTGACTTCCAAAACGAAACTGTTGAAAAGGTAACTCGTGGTGGTATTTACGGGGGACCCAACTCGTGGCTTTGGCCACAGGGTGGGGGGGGGGGGGCAATGCACCCCCTGCCCCCCCCCCCCCACCACGTTACTTACCCTCCTGGGCAGGAGGGTAAATTAGAAAATTCACGGCGAAATGTTGTTTTACTCATTTGGGATTATACATAAGCAATCATCGCAACCCCCCCCCCCCCACCTTACTGGCAGACTGAATTATGCAGAGGTGACATGATTAACGCAGTCGTGTACATTGAACGTATGCGGATTTAAACACCCGAGATTCGTTGCATGCGTAAATGAGCTTCAATAATAATCAATATTCATCGATGAACAATTGCGCTCGTTGTTGTGAGCGTCGCTCCTCTGCCCTCCGCTGTTGTTGGGAGGACGACTGCCTCCAACTTCACAGTAGCTGCGTCGTTCGCGAGCCTCCACTGCAGAGGCCGATCTTGACCACCGCTGGTACCGGTCTTCGGCAAGTCCACTCAGCTCCACATCCTCCCGAACCGCATCAGCTCCATCTCTTCTCCAGCCCGTGCCGTGCCCGTTTAGCCCCCCTCTATGCGGCCAAACAGAAGCTGCTTGGGCATGCGGTGGCTGGGCATGCGGGACGACATGAGCCAGCCAACGCAGCCTTGTCTGCCGAAGGAGCTCACCGATTGGGACTTTGTCCAGATCTTTCAAGGATTTGTGAGCTACTCACACAATCCGGCCTGCTGGTTAAACCCAGGATGGATCGTAGGCAAGCCCAGCCTGAATGTTTCAAACCGGCGGAAGATGTTCCGTTAGAGGGGTCCACGTTTCGAAAGCAGAGAGAAGAGAGGGCATGCCCCTGGCCGAGAAGACCCCGAAGCTTCGTGCGGAGCTACAGATCAGGTTGCGTCCACACAGCGTTACGCGGTCGGGTGGAGGCGGGTGTACGACACACAACTTAACTCACACGATCTGACCCAAGAATCAATGGTGAATCGCAGACCCATGACACCCGAAAATTAGACAAAATCGATTGGTGATACTGGTTTGGATGAGGAACAAATGATAATAATAAACTTTCACGAATGTGTCAATAAATCCTGTAATGTGAAATAGCAAGAAACTACAACCCGTGACGTCATTATTTTTTGTAGGTTAATGACTGCGAATCAAAATGCATAGGTTTGAAACCAGCATTATTATTATTATTCTTGAATTGTATGCGTGAGGTAGCTTGGTTGTTTCTGAAAGCACGCCACCGAGGTATAAATCCTGCAATTCGCTTTTTGAAAATGTTTCTTAATGCGTGATGACGTCACGCAATTATGACGCTCACTGAACGCGATGACGTCGAACGTACGCGATGACGCCACCGCGTACGTTTACGCGACCACGTGCGCGCAACTACAGCTTTACATAACACGTGGCGCCCGTGTTTGTGTGAGCACCCAAGTGGCTCGGAGCGATGAGAATCTAAATCCGAAGCTTAAACCTTGAAGGATGGTAAGATTCAAATCCCGGCATACGGCAAATTGAACGAATAAACGAGTGCGCAATGCAGAAGAAGTCGACCTGTGTGGGTGGATTTGACAACGGCGATCCCTGATGAGACGAACACAGGGAAAAGAGGATTGGAAGAGAGAGACAATAAACAAGACAATTATTTTTAAATATTTATACCTTATTTTTCCGCAAATACGCCACCAGGGGGCGCTCTTTCACCACTAGGGGCGCTCTTTCAATAGAAAGGCGTATGTAGAATATAATTTTCATTCAAATAAACAACTTTAAACCGGGTTTTCAGCATTTTCGTTCAAAACAGTGGGTGTATTAGGCAAAATCACGGCGAAATCAGAAATAATAATTGAAATGTGATGTGAAAATTGTAAAACAGCCCGAGGAGGACACTTTTTTGCTGAAAAATATTAAAATCACAATTAAGTCAAAAATGTTTCAGGAGCAAATTCAAGCATGAACACCGAGTTCCTGAGTAAAAACTGGGCAACATAATACATCTAAATGACAGAAAGGAATGCCGCGCTTGGGTTTTATGGGAAGACGGAATGCCCTTCCGTTGAAAAAGGAACAAGTGTGCATGTTTCCCCTGCTCATTTGCTTACTCTTCGGCTTTTGCAAGAAAATAAATTGACAAATGTCGATGTTTCTGATAAATACGAATTTGCTGAAAACATCTTAAAATACAGAGGACTGCAGAACTTGGGTAGTTGTATGCACCGGCTCCGCTGGGCTTGACTGCATTGCTGCTTTTCTGTGGTTTCTCATCACCATCTTGGAAAAAATGGACATCATTTGAATCCAGATATGATCAGTATCGCCGAATCCTGAAAAAGAGCCCTGGCAAGGGCCAAAAACAAGGTCATCGAGTGCACCAACGAAACATTGAAGGACTCCCAACACCTGAATGTGACTTTCTGGCCAGACAACATGGATGTCGTCGCCTGACAGGAGATGCACGGTTGAGGACACAGCACGTGGATGGAAAGTTACAAAATCAATGGTTACACCGTTGTTGCTGGCATACACCACCCTCGCCACCATCAGGCAAGACTTTAAAGGACTATGGCAATGAAGCCTACCACCGCAAGTGATGGCACATTGAAAATAACCCGTCAAAATCCCCCGAGTGCTTTGGAACTTTGGGAAGGCTAACTGACCTGGTTACAAAAAGAAATAACCCGAAGCCCAGTGGAATAACCTGGTGCCAAAGCCTGAAAACTTAGATACATTATTTATCATTCTGTCATCTGTTGCAAAAAAAATACATCATGAGGGGTTATCTGTGCCATATTGGAAACCTTGAAACAGAAAGAACTCATGGGCGAGTTCATCATAATTGGTAAGGGCACTGCACTGCACTGCTGGAGTCCCTGAACTCTGCAGAAAGAAAACGAGAAGATGTCGCTCCAGCCATAAAAAAAACTTTATTTTACAAGGTAAGGGCCCACTGAGCTATACAACTATGTTTCAGAAGCTACCTGGCCACAAATGATATATCAACGAAGTGGCTTATCATGTGGAAATTTATAGCAGCCAAATATTCTAAACGCACATGTTTGAATGTGGAGGGAAAAACTAGGAGGACCCTGAAAAAAAATCCACGTGACCACGGGGGAGAACATGCAAACTCCACATATTTGCAGGTGTCAGGGGTTTGGATCGAACCCACAACCTCCTGCATACCGGGCGAGGTAGTTAACATCTCACCACCGTGGTTCTCTGAAAGCTCCTCTGGCACCTAGGTACCAAATACCACGGTGAATGCTTTGGCTTCCCACATGCTGTCCCTGTTCAGAGGCATCGATCAACACATTCACCAAACAAGCTGTTCCGGAAGCCAATTCACCATTACCTCAAGTCAATTACTGCAAGCAACAGAGCTCAACACACCATACACTGTCACCGAAATGGAAGCAGGCCCTCTAGGTCCACAAATTCCAACAAGGCACCAGGATAAGATGTGCTGTGTCCTGAATTCCTAAAAAACCTGGGTGCAATGATGGCTTACAAACCTCTTCGCCGTCATACACAGGGCAGGCAAAATCCCAAAAAATGAATGGAAGCAAGCAAAAATCATGGCCATTCCAAAACCCAAGGAAGCCGCGAGATTTGCCCTCCAGCTGCAGGCCTATATCCCTCTTGACTTCCACCTCCAAGCAGATGGAACGTACCAAACTTTCCAGACTTTCCCCCATTATTCACCCCCAACTGCCTACCGAGCAAGCCGGGATGTCGAACTGGCCGTAGCTGCTGCTGCTTCTGCGAACAGATCGTTACCGTCACCACCTTCATTAAATCTGGTTTCCAGCCTCGGCAGAAAACTGGCACAGCAAGGATTGACTTCTCGACTGCTAATGACACTGTTTGGTGTCATGGCCTGCTGCTGAATATTCTTATCCGAGGTCCAAGGCCTGAAATAGCCCAAGCTCAGTTCCCTTGGGAATGTTTTCAACCCAAATGTCAAAGCTGGCAAGATGTCCCTCTTCCTCAGGCATTTGATTATCAGAACAATTTTTAGAAAAACTCCCTCCGGCTCTTGACCTCAACATTGACAATTACATTTTACGGCAAGTGGACTTTTTCTGAATATTTTGGCCAAAACAATCTAAGTAACAGTTTCATTACCACGTTACAAACATTTTTGGGGGAATTTTAACCGGCTGTGAAAAATGAAAATAAGCATGTTCTGTGTGTGATATATACACCAACATTTTATCATCATTTAAAAAATGTTCACAAATAATTTACAAAACACCATTAATTTTGGAAAATTGCCAAAACATTGAGGGGGAGGGGGTTTGGAGGTGAAACAGCAGAAAATAATTTAAAAATGTAAGAAATTACTATACATAAAAAACCACTTAACAACACTGCCTTAAAGAAACAAAAACACATAATTGGCGATGTTTCAGGCAATGGGCCTTCTTCATAGCACGTGTTGTGAAGGGTCATTGCCCAGAGGCAGAGCATTGAGTTTTGATCATTGTGCTTGGTGCACCGATGTCAATGCAGCATCTCCAAATATTTAGTTTTTATTGACGTATATGGTTGTATTATTTCGTTTTTATTGACGTATATGTTTTTCGATTTAAAGCTTTTGTGACTGCAGGGATTCACCTTCTTGGTTCTTTCGGTAAAGTCACGTAGAATGGAAATAATAAAATAATAAAATAACAAAATAAAACATTATTTTTTATTTTACCGAAAGAACCAAGAAGAGGTATATGTTTTTGTTTAAAAGTGCTCTTTTTGTACAAACGTGGAAAAAACCCCAACCGTTTCCGAAAGTGTTACGAGCGCTATACCAGTATATGTACAACATTAAATATGTAACTTGAATTTCTTCCCCGATATTTATGTAAAAAGGAAAAAAAATCTTATTGAGTCAAAATTGCATCAAATTAATGTGGTCCCATGCAACAACAACAAAAATTCTCACCAAACTGGGTCCAATAAAAAATGCACCTTTGCTTCTTGGGAAAAAGAAATTGGATGATTTAAATGAATGTGTTGTATTTTCTGTTCGTGCGGAAAAATTGGAAAAATAAAACTTTACATTGCGTGCCACCATATTGACAACTTTTTTTGAAATGAGATTAAAAAAAATGTAGGTTTCGAAAACAGACGTACATTTTTGTGGACATCGCCATCAGCCGTGATCAATCCACTGCTGGATGAAGGCCTCCTCCAAAAACCTCTGTCGCCATCTCACGATCCTGCGATGTAGTAATCCACCTCGCATCTGCATGCGAGATGGTTTAAATCGCTCCATAAATGTAGAGATCAATGCAATTAAATACCCTAGTTGTGATGTTGATTATTTCAGCCATGCCAATACGTTTAACGGTGTCTACGTATGTTATTTTTTCATCAACATTACAAATACCTAATGCAAACTGTTGCAGTATAAGCGAAAGTCAATTTGCATTGTTTTTGCTCAAATAATAAAATATATATCAATAATTTAAAAGGCTCTTGACTTGAAAAAAAATCTACAAATGTCAATGCACATGCATTTGTGCATACACATGTTGGTCTGTTATGTACAAGACACATCCTTTGCGCGATAGGATTTATTGATATTTAATTTAAGACCTATGCTCACTCAAATTTGGTGTGCCGTAATTCTATAATTTTACATTTTCACAGCTATGCAGGAAAATTACGACAAAACACTCGTATTTTGTGCTTTATATGTAACTTTATTGTACAATAAACCACTCATAGCAGTAGTTTTTGTTTAAAAATATAACAATTACCATTTCGTAAAGCCAGTCCATTTACAGTAATTTAAATTGCTATAGTTTGAGAAGGTGTAAGAAAGGCAGTGCAAATTAACAACGACGATAAGAGAGATGTCGAATTTGCGGATAAAATGGAAAATAAGCTAACTTTAAAACACCGAACAGAATTAAAATCGAACAAAAAAAGCGACAGTACGTGTTTTAAATACCTTAAAAAATATATACAAATGCCGGAAGACCAATCTACAAATTAAATCTCGAGACCAAGTAGAACTGCAGTTGGAATTCATACTGCTCACATTTCAGGCAAGAAAAAAGGTTCTGGACAAGTTCAAACTTCGCAGTCTCGGTGATGCCACGATGCCAGGCAGTGTGTGTGGTTTTCCTTGGTATAAAACAATGCATAACTTAACCAACCGGCTCGGTGTCTCATTACGCAGTAACAAATGGCTTTGGTTCGAACCTCAGTAAAGTGCTTGTACATTTTCAAAAAATGCACACAAGAGCATCATTGCAAGTACAGCATAATCGCACGACATTCATTCGTTTCGGAGCGAGTTTTGTTTTGCTTGTTACAGAAACAACTTACAAAAGGGCGACGCTCCTCTCAACCACTTAAAGAGACGGCCGTATCGACTGCTAACCGGTCATAGACGCGGTGGGTTTCTCCGGGCTCCGGTGTTCCCTCCAACGTCCCAAACGCTCTTCTTCTCATGGTGTCATCGGTCAAATATCTCCCACTGCAGGAACCCTCCCAAAGAGAGGGTCCTTCAGATCAGCAAGGCTTTCCTACGTAAATAATTGGCATTGCCACTACTACTTGCCTATTTAGAAATGCCGTTTCATTCATATTTCCAGAAGTGACGTTAATATTGGATCCAGCATGCCTCGACGTATTTGCAGTACACTGCAAGTGTCAGTTTGGTTCAGTGAATTAGAATGCGACAGTCTACCTAACCACTGCCAAGCTACAGTTCTACGTAATGTCAGTGGCGTAACGCGGCTGGCATGGGCCTCTGGTGTGCACGGAAAGAAATTGGGGTCTAATTCTTCCTCATCCCACCGTTCGTAGCCCGGTGCATGGGGGCCCTACCAGCCCGTGGGTCCCCGTGCAGTTGCACCGCCTGCGCACTGGGCACCTGCGGCCCCGCTGTACACGACAGTTGTTGTTTCTGCAGTGGCGGGAGGTGCTGTTGTTGAAGCGGTCGTGAGAGTGGAACTCAACGAGGAGCTTTCTGCCAGTCCCAGGAGGTCATCGGGTGCTTCCTGCAAACCTTTCTCCGTGCCACCGGCTCGTGACTCACTCTCCCCACGCACACTCCCTGTGGAACCGTAGCAAGCGGCAACAAGCGGCGAATACAATTGTGCGGTGCTTGTGAAAAAGTGTGGGACCAATCATTTTTTCCCGTTGCTGAAGGGGTGGTCTATTTTGTGCTTTTTACTACATCTTTGTTTGCATGACAAAACAGGAAGTTACGTAAATGAAACGATCAATCGAAATCCTACTTTGCATTGTGAATGCAGGAAGCAAAACGGATATTTGTTGACTTCTGGGAGGAGTATTCCATTCGCTGCCCCTCAATATCAGTTCAAGATGTCACCTACAACCAGAAATGCCCAGGTTCATCAAATACGATGATGATTATTAGGATGATGAATAAGTTTTGCAGTTTTAACGAGCGTGACCTTGAAGCTGCGTCCCGGTTAAGGCTTCACAACCGAGAGAGATGGTGATGCGAGAAGGATTCGGGGGGGGGCAGTCACTCGCAGGTTCCGGGAGAAGCAGGTCAGGAGTTGCCTGGCCAGCGCACACACTTGAATAGATTAACGCGCGACGGAAATTTCCCGGCCGTCCGTCTCGGCTTCGCGATTGACGTTTTTTTTGCTCCCATCATCTCTCCTTGCCGTGGTTGCGAGCGGCACGCGCGTTGCACAGGGCTTCCACCAGATCGTCAAGCCCCGCGGCCTCCTTAGGCTCCAGGAGGTTGAACTCGCGCGCGAAGCACACAAAGTGGCTGAACACGGAGTTGAGGTGGCCGTGGAGGTCTAGGCAAACCGTCTCGCGGAAGTGGCACCAGTAGATGTGCGCAATCACATGGTACAGCAACCGGAAGAACTTGCGCACCACCGCTTCGAACGAGTTCGGGAAGTCTCGGCCTGAGGCAGGGGAGAGGGAGGCAACGCGGCAATCGCTGCACGTCAGTCGATCGATCGTCGATGCCGCGGCCGCCCCAAGTAAGCTGCCCAATAATCTGTTTGCCCAGCTCTCCGATAGGTTTTCGAGTTGTACCACGTAGTGTTTCGCCATGATAGCCGTCGGCGAGATATACAGTCACAACCGTGAAATGCTACGCGGTAGTAACGGTTTGCCGGTTATTTTGTTGACGAGGTTAATTCACTTGCACCCCTTCTGGAATATGAGGATCTCTTTTTAAATCACCAACATGACCAAACTCTCTTTACATCTGGAAAGCTAAGAAAAGTGGAGCCTCATTAATACTCAGATCGCAGACTGCCTGGAAATACCAGGTGCAGTCAGCTGGAGCCGACAGATGGCCATGAGATGGCAGTAAACAAGCTAATTCTTGAATATATCTGCACGGCAGTACTCGTGAATTTTCCAGACCATTCCAGTTTCCTCCCACATGCCAAACATTAATTATAAAAAGTGGTCAAACATCGCAATGCAGGACCCTCCTCCAAAAACAGTCTCGTCACTCAAATTTTTGTTCCCTGGATAAATAGAGGGCATTCAAAAAATGAGCATCGCATTACTTATTCACTGCCAAAGGGCTATTAGATTATCGCTCCCCTGCTTGCAGTACCAGTGGCACGACGATACTCCAATCATTTGAGTGCAAAGCTTCGTCCATGCGCCCGCAAGGTCCGAACGCAATCGTCCAAGCTCACCGTATTTTGTCGGGAAAACAGATTCATCGGTGATCGTCGTCTGGATGCACGACATGACGTAGTCGACGTACTGTGGACCCGTGCACTTCACCTTCTTCCCCCTCTCGTCCTGCCAGAAGTATTGTCTGCAACACAAAGGGTAACTTCTGTTGTCACTGAACACCTATTTGATTTATGGAAAAAAATTACCATCGGATTTAAACACTTTCTGGCAATCAAACTTAGTGTGAAGGATGTTCAGACAGCAAATAGATACCCGCTTCAAGGCAAAGGTCCCGTAAATATAACTGCTCAACCCGAGCTATAGGAATACGTTAATACTTATTCTTTGGTTCTTTCGGTAACGTGACTTTACCGAAAGAACCAAAGAGTATGGATTCCTGCAGTCACGAAAGCTTCAAATCAACGTTGATACTTGCTTTGCCTTTGTACTGTTCGACTGTTTGGTAAGACTAGGCCATAAAGGGTCTCTGGTGTAGGCCAATCGGTTTCAAAGACAATCCATATATTATCAGAGCATGTTTGTTTGCATGTTTTGCCCAACAATGTGTGGTTAATGCAGACTTGATGCCTTGAAAAAGGGGTTATCTACTATTTGGTGTTTGAACGTCTCAACATTTCATTTTATTGCCAGAACAAGAAAAGAAGCCCCCATTCTCGTTTTTTTCTCTCTCGTAATTTTGAAACTGGAAAAAAGTCTCAGACCTATTCTATTGCAGTCTCAACACATGAGAGAGAAGCAATAACATTTCCATCGATTTGCACAGGAGGAAGTTAAATGTGCGCTGCACGGATTGTAAAGCAGTACACACACACACAGACACGGCCACATGCGCACGCACACACATACGCGTGATTATATACATGTAGCCACGGTGTAGTAGTTTCCACATCTCTACCCTGGAAGTACGTGGGGCATAAAATGATTGCATTTGACAACTCGGCTTTGAAATGAGGCAGCCAGGAGAGAGTGAGTGTGGGAGTCAACCCTACACAGTTTCACATTCCAGAGATCAAGTAAGGCATGTGGCCCAACTTTGAGTTCACACATGGAGTTGTTCCCATTCACACACCATTTGGGCTTCAAAAGGTATTTCGGCTACCATTTTATAGCAGCCCTTCGAGTTTGAAGATCAGAAAATGGAACATTAGAAGGTCATTAAAAGAACGCACACCCATTAAAGGAATGTTGGTAATCTGTGTCTGTCTTCTTGGTTCTTTCGGTAAAGTCACGTAGAAGGGAAGTAATAAAATAATAAAAACAAAACATAATAAAATTATTCTCACGACGTTTCGGCCACAACGCAAGCAGCCGTCCTCAGGTGAAGATGGCTGCTTGCGTTGTGGCCGAATCGTCGTGAGAATTATTTAATGTTTTGTTTTTATTATTTTATTACTTCCCTTCTACGTGACTTTACCGAAAGAACCAAGAAGATGAATCCCTGCAGTCACGAAAACTTTAAATCGAAATCTGTGTCTGAGAAAGAGCTCTCGATGGCGATACGTTTTACCCAAACTATCTCAAGTACGTACAGCCCTTTTGCCCATCCACTGCTGAATTAGGGCCACCATCCATGCTGGGCAGGTCGTGGGGGTTGTTTGACCATACTTCACTATGCTGGTCAGTGCAGGTTGGCAAAGACTGGGGGGTATTTGCAAGTGCATAAAGAACAGTACAGCAATGGCGTTTGTTGCACTGGCCTCTCCACTACTAGCATCTTGTTTTATACGCATGTTCGCCCACTCGAGTCATGTCCAGGCCCAGCCCTGCTTAGCTGATTTGCGATTGGAAATTGATTCAACAGGACTGCATTTATTTTTTATCAAACAAAAACTACTCGTAAATAACGGCACTATTGAGCTTCTTTCCGGTACTATTTGCTTATTTACACAGTTAAAGTAAAATATTGATTTAAAGCTTTCGTGACTGCAGGGATTAATATTCTTGGTTCTTTCGGTAAAGTCACGTAGAAGGGAAATAATAAAATAATATAAATATAAAACAATATTGTTTTATATTTTAATAATATAAATATATTTTAATAATATAAAAATAATATATATATTTTAATAGTATAAATATAAAACAATATTGTTTCATAATATAAAACAATATTGATTTATATTATTTTATTATTTCCCTTCTACAGTGACTTTACCGAAAGAACCAAGAATACAGTTCAAGTTGTTAATTTTTGTTCTCAAAGAACAATTTTTGTCTGTCCCCCCCCCCACCCCTCGCGTGTTCTGTTCCATTGTTGCCCGTTCCTCCGTATTGAACAACTTTGTGTTTCTTCTTGTTCTGTGCTGATGATGAACCACGGATCTCCCCTTGCAGACCGTAGCTCGTTAAGCGACTAAAATGGGACTCTCCGTGCAACAAACACGGATCGAATTATTTTTGGACACGCGAGCATATTGGCAGCCACGTTTCAAAGGCGGCACACACACCTTGCACACGCGGAGTCACGACCCAACCAACCCTGACGCAATGCGCGAGGATCAATGTCGTCGGCAACCTGGAAAATACTCCCACACCCGGCACACCACATCCAGTATACTCGTCGCTACGCCTGTGGAGTCCCCCCTTGGGTCGCGTGCAATCCACTCCAGTTCACCGGCGGTGAGAAATTAAGCGCCAGGCTGTGCGTGCGTATTTTTAGATATTGCTGTCACCAACTGTGACCCTGCGAGCGTGCGTGGTATTCGAGGGCACCCTGGAGGGGCGGCGTTTTGGATTTCGGCGAGTGTTCAAGGGACGGGGTGGGGAGAGGGGATTGGAGGAGAGGCGGGAAAGGGCACGTGGGGGGTGGAGGCCAGGGAGGACTTACACGTTGCAGGCCGTCATGAGCGGGCAGGTTTCCGCTGTGCAGAATTCCGAGATGGCGCTGTACTGCAGGTTCACGTGTCCGAAGAATGTTGTGACTGCGCGCCAAGGCACACCGTGGGTCCAGCCGTAAGGGGACGACAAAAAAACACTTTGACCGTTGCATTCGATTAAGCAAATATATCAACTTTTATGTCAATTTGATTATTTCAGCAGGGTGTTGATAGAGCCATACAAAACACCTCGAATACGAATTTATAACATTGTATTCAATGACAACGAGTATGCCAGAAAATGTGCAGTACAGCTGACAATTTACAGGATTGTACATAGTAGAATTATATTAATTGTAATGTTCTGATACATTGCATTGTATTAACAGATTATCAATTGCGTATACAAATAAGTCACCCACCAAAAAAGAAAATCGACGAATCGTCATAGTTGAGCATGACAATTTTACTCAACAATGCAGTTGACTTTTGTTCTCACATTGCGGTGAATGCCAGTGGCCTCGAGTGGCTGCAGTCGTGATTTGAACCAATCTCCCACTGTACAACTTACAGCAGAACCTCCTCTTAGCGAAGGTCATTTGGTTCCATGAAACCGGTCGTTAAGCGAGTATAGGAAGCACACGTTAAAGGCTTCATTCGTTCCAATAGCATCGAAAATTACCCTTTTTCACCTAAAAAACGTGCTTTACAATATTTAAACAATGGATATTAATACATAAAGATACTAACATTATAAACACATATTATTAAAAGAAACATGGTTAAGCAATGCAGTAAATAATATTAGCTGGACATACAACAGCCCGCCGTTAACAGGGGAACGGTCGGTAAGCAAACACATTGGGCTCTATGGAGGCACTACACTACTATACACTACTATACACTACACTATACACTACTATACACTACACTATACACTACTATACACTACACTATACACTACTATACACTACAATACACTACTATACACTACTATACACTACACACTACACATTGGGCTCTATGGAGGCACTACACTACTATACACTACACTATACACTACTACACACTACACTATACACTACACTACTATACACTACACTACTATACACTACACTACTATACACTACACTACACACTACTATACACTACACTACACACTACTATACACTACACTATACACTACTATACACTACACTATACACTACTATACACTACACTATACACTACACTACACACTACTACATACACTACTATACACTACACTATACACTACAGTACTATACACTACACACTACACTACACTACTATACACTACACACTACACTATACACTACACTACTATACACTACACTACTATACTATACACTACACACTACACTACACTACACACTACTATACACTACACTATACACTACACTATACACTACACTATACACTACACTATACACTACACTATACACATTTGGCTCTATGGAGGCCCGTCCTGAAGCGATTAGTCCTTAACAAGGGTGAATGTTAAGCGGGGTTCTACTGTATGCAGACCTAACAACAACAACAATAAACATCAACTCAATTCCATACACATTTCATTAGTTTAAGAATGTTATGTTAATCTACGTATTGTCCCCCCCTCCCGCCTAAATTTACATCTTTAATCTTACAGCTTCTGTCCTAGGACGAGCTAACAAGCTAGCTATAAAATAAAGCACACGTAAATAATGATTTAAGGCGATGTATGTATGTATTTCCGGACTCTGCGAGAGAGTGGCTTAATTCAGATTAGAATTGAACCACGAATGAGGCGATTGACCATCACAAGCACGATATGCTAACGGGCGTTTCGTCAATGTAATTAGTCTTTGTTCAATGGCTCCCTCTTCCTAAGTCAATATACTTCATCCTCAATGCCTCAGTGTCACGTGTCATGGGATGGGGCAGCAGTGCATCCTCCTCTGTCCGAGCTCGCAATCAGAGGGAGTTTGGATCGTCCCCAAATTCGAAATTCATTTTTGTTTGTAGTGGAATTTAAAGCTACGCAAGTGGTCATGATTTTTATACGCACACAGAGACGCAATGAGTTTATAAAATGAATAACATGAAGGCGAGTTTGAATTAAATTAGGTCAATATGGTAACAGGTGCATTTTGATCTCAGTTGGAACATTTTAAATGACATTGAATTAACCCCATATAGAGTTGAATGCTGTATTCAATAACAGCAAAATAATGACAGGGTGTTTGATACCATCAAGGGGGTTTTCTTTGTTACGTAGGAGAAGTTACTAAACTATTTTTTAAGGAAACGGCTTATCTTTGCCCTTTCAACAAGTTGCAAAATTTCCCTCCGTGACTTAACAAAACAATGCTAAGCGATGCAGTGAAATGTCACATTCCTAAGAACACATTAAAAAGTCTTGTTTATACAAAAGACGTAGTTAGCTTTGTATGCGTTTTCATACTTAAAGAACTGAACACATAAGCTGTACGGCACACGCCAGTAGCAGCAGGCTTATGTAATAAAGGAAATAAATTAAGATTCCCCAGCAGGGGAAAATGACCTGGGGGAAAACGCAAACATGCATTTAAGTCCCTGAAAGTATCTACAAATCCATGTAAACAATTTCCACCAAAAGTGGACAGGAATTCTTGGCAACAGTTAAAACGCTGTTTGGAGCGCACGGTGGAAAAATGTTCGTGCCCTTATTAGGCCATTCGTTTAGATCTTTGAATTCCCGGTGACGCAAAAGCAATTTTGTTTCTCTTTAGCCATCTGGCATGGAATTTAATGTTGGTGCAGCAGCACGGAGGACAGCAATCCACCACAGAAAGTGTGTAACAATTACTGCCTAGTGCACACAAGCGCGCCGGTTGTATTTTGCAGGGTTGTGCACTCCCCGCCCATCCGTTACCCGGAATGGAATCGAGCGATAAAAATCGTGGACTTACTTTAGGGGGGGGGGTGGGGGTGCGGGAAGTTTTCTCTCAAACTCAGCCACCTACAACTCTTCTCATCAAATGTCCCAACTTAGAACATGTTGCAAACAGACCCTGGGCACCAGAGTGAGCACCATCGCCCACGGCTGTATTCTTTCCTAAAAATGCTGTTTTCATAAATCGCCGCTTTCAGCCTCGACCTAACCGCTGTATATTTTTTTATATATGTAAAAGTAAAACGTGCTTATTTTAAAACACCACTGTAACTTTAAACGGGGTAAAGAAAGATGAGTTCATGTGAATGAAATGTAATTCCAAAGGACCCCTAAACTAATGATTGAGAAAATAATTTGCCAGATTAATGAAATTTAGGATAGAATGTGCCCCCCCCCCCACTCCCAACCTGAGCCACACCCCACCTCACCAGCCTCACCGTATACTCCGATCATGTACCGATCACGCATGCATTTGCCTCAAATCATTACTTTTTGCCCCTCGCTTAAATGTACTCCTCCAAATTTTGCTTAGGTTAAACATGTCAACTTTTAACCAATGTCTCATTAGGCACAAGTGCTTGCTATCGAACTTAAATAAAACCCTCAAGGCACTTTGTTCAATTTGATGCAACAAAATAATAATATACGGGAATACAACGGAAGTGGTAGCGCAGCACGGGTTGGCTTGGGCCGTAATGTGAGGAATGAAACGGGGACCCCCAAAACCTCCTCTCTTCTTCCGAGCCTGGCATTTGGGGCCCCTCCTGGGCCCATCATCGGTCCTACTGCAGTCGCACCACCTGCACCACTCAACAGCTACACCACCGAATGGGATGGTGCGTGTGGGCACTTACACACGTGCCCCCCCCCCCCTACATGTTAACAATGAACTCTCGCGACCCCATTGCCAACGGACCAACTGCTCCACCACCGAATACCAGAACAAACATTTTTTTCGTCCAAAAAAGTAAACGATTTTCACTTTCTCTCCACAGGCCTCGCTCTGTGTGTAGCGAGCACAGCTGCCCTGCTGTCACGTGACGCGCGCTGGAATGCCTTCATGTGGCGCGGGGCCTTCCGCCGCGTGCCCTACCGTGCGTGGCGAGCCACTCGTTGAGCTCGATGGAGGGTGGCAAGGTGATGAGCGGACGCAGCTCCGACTCGGTGATGCATGCCCGCACGTAGTCGGGCTCCAGGTAGAGGCGTCGCTCCTCGGGGGCACTCTTCTTCTCGTTCTTCCGGCCACGCCTGGGCGCCAAGGGTTGGCAGGAGTCATTACGATGGCATTATATACACGAGCCCTGTTAGCCAGCACGGACTGTCGGTGCAAGTGCTGTTAGCGAGCACCTATTAAGGGCGGCCGGTGTGGCGTACGAGGGGGTCGTGTGGCCAGCACCACGCGCCGACCACCATTGCATTTCCAGTGACAACATGCACAAAGCGCACCAGGTACTCATTTAAGGCAGAGTTGACCTCGTGGAGGCCCAGAACCGGTTCAGATATTCTCCATTAATGCTGGCCGTGAGCAGGAACCAAACTCGGCATGGCGTGTCCGTCATGGGGGCCGCTTGACCATACGTCACCATCCTGGCCATTTGTGGTTTGGTAAGGAAGGATGGAGTAAACCCAAAAATGAGACGTTTGGCTCAGAGCAGCGCAGCTCACCGAGCCGAATGCACCCCCTGCGCTCTATGGGCATTCCTCAATGGCCAAATGTTGGTGCACATTAGTAAAAAATTGACGGGACTTTATTTTAACAGGTAAGAACAAAAATTACGAGACTTAAAGTCTCTTTTTTTTTGGAATGTCAATCTTGATCAGCGAGTGACAACAATGCAATGCACGCGGAACGTACAACATGGAACGTTAACCACGTGCGGGCATGCATCACCGAGAGTTCAAATGAAAATAAAAGCTTACTATGAATGTCGTGGCTTTTGAAACCACACGAATTAGAATACAGCAGTGTTGCGTACGGGTCTCTCATACGGATGTGAAATCTGTACAACCAGAGTACAAAGACCCTACAGAGCAAACTAGATGCAAGAGATGCGTTTTTAAGGAGGACATTACACATTTCACGGATAGACAAGATGAGTAACGTAAATGTATTATAGATAGCAGGGTACACAATAAGAAAATAAATACGAATAATTATGGAACAAAAAAGTTAAGAGTTCTTGGACATGTAATGAGAAAATAAGGACACTGAAAATGAACGCGTTTTGACTGGGAAAATTATAGGTGCAAGAAGCCAGGGAAGTACGTAGGCAATTTGAACAATTGGATGCAACTGGGAGTATCTAACACGACGTTCTTGAGCAAACATCGTGGAGAGAACGACATCGAAAGCCATGATCGCCAACGTCTTTGAAAAAGGGGTATGGCACACAGACAGAGTGGCTATTGAAATCATTTGCGACACATCAGAGGTCGGTTTTATCAACTCGTCAACTGCAGTAAAACATGTACAATCATCCTGATACAGCAAAACACACAGGGGTGGCGCTTTGAAGCCAATTATCTGTTGTTGTTTTTACTAAATTACAGATTGTTTTTGACACGCATGACATGGAAAGCCCCAACACCATCTCGGCCTGGATGAAAAGGTCATTTCGTCCGAGCGCACCAGTCACCCTGATATATAATGAGCATTTCTCCCTTATCAAGCAAGGTGGATACATTATTTCCATCTCAGTCACGGCCCCAACAGGTTAACGTGCTATGCCCCGGGCAATAATAACTAAAAAATAAAAACACACTTCACCATTACGCCGATGATTACGGACATGTTTGACGTGTCTCTCGAACTGTAAGTACAGTCTGAAATTCTGTGCAACCAAAACGCCCTGGCGTTAGAGACGACATTGAAAGCAAAACGAAACGAGCACGTGTCCCCCCACACACCCCACAAAGCACAGTTTGTGTTTGAGGAGGCCAGACGCAAAGGGAGCACCCAAAAAGCCCGAGTGACATTCGGGTGAAACCCGCCGAACGGGTTAATGAGCCCTGCAGAGGTTTTTTTTCTCTCTCCTACGGTGGCACACCTCGCTGCAGATTAAACAGGCACAAACACGCAAATACACCCTCAGCCGGGGGGGTAGGGGGGGCTGACACACCTCGGAGGCGACCACATTCCTGATTCGTGTGTGTAGTTTCTCTAAGGAAATCTTATCCTTGAGAACGTGAGGCGACATGTTTTGCTCTGCATCGCGCCAGTGTGACAGAAAAGAATCACACTGACCAGAGCGAGAGTGAGTGAGGACCATGCAGCATGTTTAATCGTCTATAATAAGTCTATAATAATTTTTTAAAAATTAACCCGTAAAAACAAAGTTTTTCACTATAAATCCTTTATATGCGTGGCGGCTAGAGTCCTCTCGTCCTCTCGCTTGAGATGGCTGCCACCTATGGGTCAGATGATTGCCTGCCACCATTAAGCAATTGGTAAATAAATATAAATTCCTAAAAAGTGTAACATTTTGGAACAAAAATTTCACGAAAATAAATTGTCACGCACAACGAGTCTGTGTGCAAAATGTCAGCTCGATTGGATCACGGGAAGTGGGGTTAACAAACGACCGAAAGATTTGCACGGTCGTAAGCGCGCAAGAAAGCAAGCAAGCAAGTGAACTTAATATAAAGGATTTAAAAATATGATGATTCATCATTATGTTTAACTCTGCCCCACGCCGTGATGCCAGTGTGAACAGGGATTGAAAATAATCCCACTGACGACAGAGAGAGTGAGGACCATACAGCAGGTTTTTACGTCTATAACACAAACACAAATATTTACTCATTATTATTAGAGTGCGAATGTTAATCTGCTGCTGGGTGAAGTAGTGATAAGAATCTGTGACAAAGAATCAAAGTCTCGTCACCGGGTGTGTATCAGCGCAGTGTACCAACCACTGCTGCTATAACCGTACGTTAAAACATCATACAAACGACGCTACGCATGTCTCCAAACGGGACCAACTTTTAGGGACCTAAGAGAATAACATTCAAAATGAAGATCCAAATTTTTTTTACACTATTACAAAATTTCGATTTAAAGCTTTCGTGACCGCAGAGATTCATCTTTTTGGTTCTTTCGGTAAAGTCACGTAGAATGGAAATAATAAAATAATAAAACATAATAAAATAACTTTCTTACGTTTTATTTTTATTATTTTTTATTATTTTATTATTTCCATTCTACGTGACTTTACTATTACAAAACCTTAAAAAGGCGAATACGCATTAATGACCCTACCAACGTGAATGTTCTTGCGCTTTGTCGATCTGCTCACGCACCACGGATTCTCCCTCGTCAAGTACTCGGGGAAACCGACTGAACGGCATCGTCCGTGTAACAAACTAAAAACACATTGTTCAACTCAAACGCAACACGAAAGACTCACCTAAACATCTGCCTGCAACTTGCCAACATCGACACGAGACGTCTTGTGGGAACTCACGCGTCTCCGCGTGGAACATGAGCGCACGACACCACGCAGGCATCCCCCGACACGAATGGACCTCCGGACGTGTCCACCGGGCGTAACGTTTAACCAGCAAGTAAATAGTTTAATAATATGCAAAATTTGTCCTTACAATTGCAGCAGCGGCGGCAGCGGCGGTCAATCATCGGGTTTGCATCGGGCAAATGTCATTTGACAAACAGCGAACGACACAAAAGTACTTGACTTGGTCCATCACGCGTCACTCACGACATCATGCCGCTCCCCCCCTCCCCGTAGTAGTTTACATTCAGATTGTGCTTCTTATTGTTACGATGATCATCGTCGCCGTCGTCATCATTACTACAACTACAACAACCGGCATTACACAGCCACGCGTCGGGAGCCCTCGAGACGCCACTCACCTTAGCACCCTGCCCATTGCGCGAAAAACCATCTTGCAGTGCGCAGCGGATGAAGCGGGCGGCTGGTGCGTAGGAGCCGTCGGGGATGACTTCGCTAGTGCACGCTCGACCATCATTGTCCGGGCACAACTCCCAGCGACGCCTCCCGACACAAGCTCACGCGCCGAGGAACTCTTTAAGAATGTAATGGCATTAAAATTTCATTGATTTTTTTGTTCTAAACTTAGTTCGCTTGATAGGGGGTTTGTGCACCCAAGCCGCTTGCCTGCGTTTCGTCGATCGCTTATGCCCCCCTCCCCACCACCACCTCCCCCAGCTATTTAGTAAGCACGCAAAGTGAGTTGCTGCTGTCCCGCGCACAGTAATCATTAACGTCTCCCCTCCGCCGACCCCACCTCCTCCTCCTCCCATCCCACGCCTCAGTGGCTCCCCACCCCTGCCCCACTCCAACAGACCACCAAAAATCCAGCCGCCTCCTCCCTTCCCCATCCGTGGCGACTCATTGGCTCCTGGAGGACCCCCCCCCCCCCCGGTGATGCGCTATTCGCAAGGCGCTGGGCGGCGCGTGTCTCGGAGAAGTCGGTTCGAAACTTTCAGTGGAGACGGGCGAGTGATGGGGCCACGCGGCACGGGGCAATGTTTGGTGCGCGTACGAAACGGGAGGCTGTGTGCGCGTGTTTAGAACCTATCCTCCTTGAACGAGGGCACAGACTTTGTATCGTCTGCATTTCAAAACAAAATAAAATAAAAATTCCCCCCCCCCCCACCTACCTACCGTGATGTTTTTTAACTGCATTTAAGGACCACGGGACTTCTAAAAAATATGGAGTTGTTTTCTCCATTTGATTTGTACACGTATTAGAAACAAAATTAATGTCTATAGTAATCTTGATTTGAAGCTTCCGTGACTGCAGGAATTCATACTCTTTGGTTCTTTCGGTAAAGTCACGTAGGATAGAAACATAACTAATACATAAATCACGACGTATATAGCCACCACAAACGTCTATAACCTTTGGTTGGCAGTAGCTCTCTCGCTACATTTCCTCCTCAGCAGTCCGCCTGCTGGATTGTTTCACCTGATGACGATGGCTTGTGTTGTTATCGAAACGTCGTGATTTATTTATTCGTTATTTTTTCTATCTACGTGACTTTACCGAAAGAACCAAAGAGTAGAATGTCTATATTGTTTAAGTAAAATGTATCGTCAAACCGTTGATAAATGAGGACCGCGCTGTCTGAAACTGTAACTTAAATAGAAGTGTAATGCTTTTACAAATGCTGTATAATTTGTTTGTAAGAATACGGTCAGAAACATCAGATTAACAAGTCGAGAATTGCGAATATTTATCGCAATTCGCACTCGGTACACTGTCAGCCAATCTGTGGCGCTGCCGAAAACGTGGCACAAACAACACAACCCGGCCACTCCAATGGATGCATGCGTGTGTCACAGTAACGAGAGTGAGACGAGGGACTGCCGTGCCATACCCCGGTGGCCAAAGCTGCGAGTTGATGGGGCTCCCTCTGACAGCCACCATGAGATGTTTTCAACAGTATTGGGTCACCACCTGACCGGTTGCCGCATCACCCCCCCCCCACCCCCGAGCTGATAATGATGTAGTTACGACCACTGGTGTGTAACAGGCAATGCTTTGTACCCGATGGGAACACGCGCACGCACGCACACACACTACTACTGCTGCTATACATTCAAGGGGGTTTGGACCTTATGCCTGCTCGGAAAACCAATACCGCCGATGAATCATCGAAGTCCGCGTGCTTGCCGTCACGGCGACGAGTGGCGCGTGCGGCGTGCCATCACGCACGCGCGTGCGTACGCGTGATGTTGCACCGCGCTGATTCGAGCCCTACCACCTTCGGGCAGCCCGAGTCGCACGCACTGACGCGACGTCTTCCGGGAGAGCTGAAGCTTGGACGAGGCCGCAGCCGAAGCGACAGGCCGACAGGCCGACGAGCCCTCGACCGCGCGCGTCAAAATGCTTTGCCTCTTTTGAAAACGCTGACGCAATGCCAACTTTTTTCCCCCCCCGTGTTTTTTTTAAATTTACTTTACGCAGGAAGGCTTAGTTTTTGCGGCTAGTAGTTTCCATCCACCTCACACCCACACGGCCAAGGACGAACATACAGGGAGTAGCGAGGAGGAAAACATTATTATTTAGCTATTTCAATGTTCGTCTTCATGGAAACTGTTTATAAAGTACCCAAAATTAGCGTTAATTACTTAAAGTAATTGAATGCTTATCTACAGTGTGCACGTGCATTGTTTAAATGGCCATAAGTAAGTGTGAAGAGCACAACAGGTTTCAATAATAATTTGTAGTTGGGTGAAATGCCTCTCATCCGCGATCATGTGGATGGCTCTATTGCATGCAGATCCTGATATCCGCATTCATCTGTGGAAGTTGCTCCTGTTATCTGCACAGCTATCTCTGGATATAATCCCCAGGGTAGCAGGACGAAATTGCTGCCACTTCCAGAACACATCAACGACGAGTCATTATCAGCAGATAATGGTGGATAATATAAATAACGTTGTCTGTGTACGCCTCGAACGTGAGAATCAACGCACATATACGATACATTTCAACCGATTAAATTATGCAAATAATAGGAAGAGTGGATAAGTGGCAAACAGATGTGAGGTTTTCATCTATAGAACCACGACACATTATATATCGGTACTGTATTTAAATAGATTATATCATTTTCTTTGTTATTCCCTTATTCTCAAAAGTCAAGTTAGCAAGGCCTTGCGTTGGGACGCTGTCTAAGAACGCAGCGTGGAATAGTAACGTGAGAATGCAAATGATTGGCGACAATAAAAGGCGAATTCTTTTCCGTTTTCAGCAGTTGACATGGGGGCCCCACTGCGAGAGCGTCTTAATTGGACCGAAAAAACAAGAGCATGGTGTCAGCAGCGGTCACAACGAACCCGCAGCACACAGCAGTTTCGCCGAATTGATAATCGGAATGACATCGGCCTAACAAGCACAACGGCGCCAAGGGCCGACACCAAGCACACACACACTCTCACTCGTGGCCTCAGCTGTGAGCCCTTCCGACGCAGAGCAAACCACCGCTTTCCAAAAATCGTCATTTTTGTATCGACGACAGAGCCGTCCGTCTCCAGACGGAACCCGTCTGCGCACTCAACCTGGGGCCTGGCGTTGTTTTCATCGCCGGAGCAGGTGCGGCGCCGTCACAAAATGACACGGCGGGCGACGGACACGCGTGGCTCGTCAATAATGGAAAGGCGCGACACGAGCGTCAGCATTTTTTTGCCGACGTGCGCAGAGCTCGCGGATTATGCATTCAAAACAAACATTTCCATTACGTGCGGGGGGGGGGAGGGAATTAAATAAGCAGCGTGCGTTAAATAAAATAACACCGATGTAAATAAAAAAAAAATGCAGTCGTCACATTGAATGGGAAGACGAGCTCTCTACGTGATCAGAAATGTAAAGGTGGTCAAAGGTGCAGCCCCTGCAATTGCTTGCTCACCGCTGGAAGAAAAGGTCTCATCTCGAGGGAGGAGCTCCAGAGAACTGCTCGAGTGGGTACATTGGCCTACGCTTTCACGCTGGCCAGACCGTCTTGGATGTTGTGCGAGCACCCGCACTGCTCCACCACACGCCAGCTGCTGATCGACTAACTTGTGGTGTTTCCAATTACACTGCTCGGTGGACAGAGGAGGAGGAGGGGAGTGAGGGCGGATTTAAGAAACTTGCCCAATTGTTGTATTTGCCATGCCACGTGATCGACTCGGTGACCCCTGGATTGTAATTCCAGCGCGCTATCCATTAAATCTCACCGCGATATCACCGCCACGATTCTCACACGACTGTGTGACGTACTATGCAGAACTTCTTTCGCACCGTACCTAGCCAAAGCGTGACAGGTCTGTGCGGACGAAACTGTGTGCAGCACGAGTGACCTTGGCCGAGTCGCACGACGGGGTAGTCACCGAGCAAAGGTCACCGAGCAAGGGCACCTGCTGAGAATGGAATGTGGCCACAAGCCATCACACTACGTTTTGCCTGCGCCTCGCGCTGCGTGCGTACTCCTATCGGCAGTGGTCTATGGTAAACGTCTCAATGAATCCTGGGCTGCTCGTAGGTCGACTCAGCCTCAAATGAATACCTGGTAAGGCGTGTAAAAAACAACAACACAAGGACCACTTGAGCGTGGTGCTTGACCATACTACCCTCTCGTACACCCTGCCGGCCTTGGTCGGTGCCAATTGCACACTTGCCTAACAGTCTATGAAGGCGACATGGGGGGGATCTTGGTCTTTGCACTGCCATATCCGTTGCTTCGGGCCACGAATCAGGTCCCCACCTCCACCTGAGGTGGGGTGCAACTATCCATACGCGGACTAAAGTGACGTTTTTCACGCGCACTCTGTAATTATGACTCCTCCATGTTGGAACCATAGCGACACCCCCCTGCCTGTCAAAGGACGTTCAGCAGCGAAGGGGGCAATAATGAAATTGCGAGAAAATATGCAAACACCAGCACGCAGCAGTTTGGAAATATTCCCGTCGCAAAGGGGCACATGGAGAAAATGTATCAATCTCTCCAACGCCTCCTCACATTACAACGTACGCGTGTGAAGGATTGCCCGTTTCGGGGACAATCGCTCAAGAAAAACACAACATTCTGCCAGCGGAGAAATACGTCGCTCTGCGTATCTTCATGCGCGCTGCAAGGAGCGCAGCTGCAGAGTTCACACTCGGTTCATTCGAGGCTTCACGAGAAAAAACAACGCTCTAATGACCGGTCATGCTCCAGTAAAACACAGCGATACTGCCCAGCCAGGTCTTTACCAGTCACTCGGCTATGACTGAACATTCCGATGAAACTCTTTGATTCGGTGGGCAAATTAAAGGCCACGGTCCAGTTCCATTTCCCTCCGTGGCTGTTACGGTGTTGCCTATTCCATCGCAGGAACTTGACATATGGTGTCACCTTGGGGAAGCATTCATCCAGCAGTGGATTGAGCGTGGCTGATGTTGGTGATGATGATGCTATGGCGAGCACAAGTAGCATAAAACAAACAAGTTTCGAGTTTTGTGTCAAAACGGATGAGAACCCTAGATGATAATTGTTTTTTTACCCTTTTATCTGGCAACAAAACTGACACCTTTTTTACAAGGAGTCATGTTTGCATTGACCACAATACCTGCAGTCGGAATGCAAACTCTGATAATGTATGCACTGTCCTTGAAATTGATGCATACATTATCAGAGTTGTGTTTTTTGTTTGCATTTCGGCTGCAGGTA